GCCGTAAAGGTCATGCTAATAGGAAAGTATATTGCAATACAGGCCTACCTCAGGAAAGAAGGACATCTCATAGGAATAGTCTAAACTCACAATTAATGAAACTAGAATAAGAAGAACAAATGAGGCCCAAAGTCAGTGGAAGGAGGGACATAATAAAGACCATAGCATAAATAAATAAAATCAAGAAGAATGAAATAACCGAAAGAATCAATGAAAGCAAGAGCTGGTTCTTCAAGAAAATTAACAAAATAGATAAACCCCTAGCCAGACTTATTAAGAAAAAAAGAGAGGCTACACACATAAACAGAATCAGAAATGAGAAAGGAAAAATCACTATGGATACCACAGAAATACAAAGAATTATGAGAGAATACAATGAAAAATTATATGGTAACAAACTGGATAACCTAGAAGAAATGGACAACTTTCTAGAACAATACAACCTTCCAAGGCTGCCCCAGGAAGAAACAGAATATCTGAACAGACCAATTACCAACAATGAAATTGAATTGATAATTTAAAAACTACCTAAGAACAAAACCCCTGGACCACATGTCCTCATCACTGAATTTTATAAAAAATTCAGTGAAGGCTTAATACTCATCCTCCTTAAAGTTTTCCAAAAACTAGAAGAGTAGGGAATACTTCCAAACTCATTCTACAAGGCCAGCATCACTTTAAAAGCAAAACCAGGCAAAGACACCACAAAAAAAGAAAATTACAGACCAATATCCCTGATGAACATAGATGCAAAAATACTCAACAAAATAGTAGCAAACCGAATACAAAAATATATCAAAAAATTATCCACCATAATCAAGTAGGATTTATTCCAGGAATGCAAGGATGGTACAAAATTTGAAAATCCATCAACATCATCCACCACATCAACAAAAAGAAGGACAAAAACCAATGATCATCTCCATAGATGCTGAAAAAGCTTTTGACAAAATTTAACACCCATTCATGATAAAAACTTTCAACAAAATGGGTATAGAGGGCAAATACCTCAACATAATAAAGGCCATGTATGACAAATTCACAGCCAACATCATACTTAACAGTGAGAGGCTGAAAGCCTTTCCTTCGAGATTGGGAACAAGACAAGCATGCCCACTCTCTCCACTTTTATTCAACATAGTTCTGGAGGCCCTCACCACAGCAATTAGACAACACAAAGAAATAAAGGGCATTCAGATTGGTAAGGAAGAATCCAAGTTGTCACTGTTTGCAGATTACATGATATTGTACATAAAAAATCCCAAAGAATCCACTCCAAAACTACTAGAACTAATATCTGAATTCAGCAAAGTTGCAGGATACAAAATTAATACACAGAACTCTGTTGCATTCCTATACACTAACAATGAACTAGCAGAAAGAGAAATCAGGAAAACAACCCCATTCACAATTGCATCCAAAAGAATAAATACCTGGGAATAAACCTAACCAAGGAAGTGAAAGACCTATACTTTGAAAACTACAAGACACTCATGAGAGAAATTAAAGAAGATACCAATAAATGGAAACACATCCGTGCTCATGGATAGGAAGAATTAATATTGTCAGAATGGCCATCCTGCCTAAAGCAATCTACAGACTTAATGCAACCCTATCAGAATACCAACAGCATTCTTCAATGAACTAAAGCAAATCATTGTAAAATTCATATGGAACCACAAAAGATCCAGAATAGACAAACCAATTGTGAGAAGCAAGAATAAAGCAGGGGGCATTATGCTCCTCAACTTCAGGCTCTACTACAAAGCAACAGTAATCAAGACAATTTGGTACTGGCACAAGAACAGACCCATAGACCAATGGAACACATTAGAGAGTCCTGATATAAACCCAAGCATATATGACCAATTAATATATGATAAAGGAGCCATGGACATACAATGGGGAAATGACAGCCTCTTCAACAACTGGTGTGGGCAAAACTGGACAGCTACATGCAAGAGAATGAAACTGGATTATTGTCTAACCCCACACAAAAATAAACCCAAAATGGATCAAAGACCTGAATGTAAGTCATGAAGCCATAAACTCTTAGAAGACAACATAGGCAAACATCTCCTGAGTATAAACATGAGCAACTTCTTCCTGAACACATCTCCTCAAACAAGGGAAACAAAAGCAGAAATGAACACATGGGACTACATCAAACTAAAAAGCTTCTGGACAGCAAAGAACACCATCAACAGAACAAAAAGACATCCTACAGTATGGGAGAATATATTTGTAAATGGCATATCTGACAAGGGGTTAACATCCAAAATATATGAAGAACTCACATGCCTCAACACCCAAAAAGCAAAAACCTGATTAACAAATGGGTGGAGGATATGAACAGACAATTCTCCAAAGAAGAAATTCAGATGGCCAAAAGACACACAAAAAGATGCTCCACATTGCTAATCATCAGGGAAATGCAAAATAAAACCACAATGATATATCACCTCACACCAGCAAGGATGGCCAGCATCGAAAAGACTAAGAACAACAAATGCTGGTGAGGATGCAGAGAAAGGGGAACCCTCCTACCCTGCTGGTGGGAATGTAAGCTAGTTCAACCATTGTGGAAAGCAATATGGAGGTTCCTCAAAAAACTAAAAATAGAAATACCATTTGACCCAGGAATCCCACTCCTTGGAATTTACCCAAAGAATACAAGTCTCAGATTCAAAAAGACATATGCACGCCTATGTTTATCACAGCACTATTTACAATTGCCAAGATATGGAAGCAACCTAAGTGTCCATCTGTAGGTAAACGGATAAAGAAGAGGTGGTACATACACACAATGGAATACTATTCAGCCATAAGAAGAAAACAAATCCTACTATTTGCAACAACATGGATGGAGCTGGAGGATATTATGCTCAGTCAAATAAGCCAGGCGGAGAAAGACAAGTGCCAAATGATTTCCCTCATTTATGGACTATAACAATGAAGCAAACTGAAGGAACAAAACAGCAGCAGACTTACAGACTACAAGAAAGGACTAGCAGTTCCCAAAGGGGAGGGGTGTGGAAGGGCTATTAGGGAGGGAGGGAGAAGGGGATTGAGGCATATTATGTTTAGTACAGACGGTGTGAGGGGTCACAGGGAAAACAGTGTAGCACAGAGAAGACAAACAGTGAATCCGTGGCATCTTACTACACTGATGGGCAGTGACTGAATTGGGGTATGGATGGGGACTTGATAATATGGGTAAATGTAGTAACCACATTGTTTTTTCATGTGAAACCTTCATAAGCATGTATATCAATAATATCTCAATAAAAAATTTTTTAAAGAAGAAAAGGAACAGCAGCATATAAAATTAGAAATACACACACACTTTATGCATATGTATATTATAAATGCTATGAAGAAATAGGTGAAATGTTAACAGTAATAACCTCCCCTCTTAGTGGTGAGAATAGGTGTGGGTAACATTCTTTTCATGATAAGTTTTCTGAATGTTTTGCAATGAGTATGTCTTTCTTTTACTAAATAAGTTATTGGAAAACAAGAATAAATTTTTATTTGACTATTTTGAAATTGTGTCCTTCCCACTACATGTTACAATGTTCCTTCTTTTCCAAGAAAATCAACCAAAATAGTTAATTTTTCTTAAACCCATTCTGGGCAAAATTTATAATTGATATCCCCATTCCCAATTTCTTCCTCTGAAATTTCACTGGTCTGTGTCATGAGATTGTCGGGCTCTCTTTCTTTCTTTTTTTAAATTGATGTATAGTTGATATACAATATTATATTGGTTTCAAGTATACAACATATTGATTCAACAGTTACCTACATTATTTATGTAGTTACTATTTGTCAACACAGAAGGATGTTACAGAACTACTGACTATATTCTCTATGCTGTACTTTCATCCCTGTGACTAATTTATATTATGCTTGAGATTTTGTGCCTCTTTATCCCCTTCACCTATTTCACCTACCTGCCCCAACCCCTCTGCCATGGTAACCACTGGTCACTTCTCACTGTCTATTAGTCTACTGCCATTTGTTTTGTTTTGTTTTGAGATGCCACATAGAGTGAAATTGTATCGTATTTGACTTTCACTGCCTGGCATATTTCATTTAGCATGATACCCTCTAGGTCTATCGATGTCATCACAAATGGCTGGATTGCTTTCTTTTTTATGACTGAATAATATTCCATTGTATATATGTACCACATCTTCTTTATCTATTCTTCTCTTGATGGACACTCTGGTTGCTTCCATATCTTGGCTTTTGTAAGTAATGCAACAATAAACATAGGAGTGTATCTATGTTTTTGAATCAGAGATTTTGTTTTCTATGGGTGAATTCCTAGAGGTGGAATTACTGGATCGTATGGTATTTCTATTTCCAGTGTTCTGAGGAAACTCCATACTGCTTTTTATAGGGGCTGCACCAATTTATATTCCCACCAACAGTACAGGAGGGTTTCCTGTAGGGCATTGTTTCTGGTGGAGTCATCCTGGGATAATGCTGGCTGGAGTCATGCCCCCAAGGAGACCACATGGGTAGGTCCAGATAAAAGGAAGCTCTGGACTTTTTGGTGTCTGTAGCCCACTTTTGAATACTGGATTTGATTGGAAATCCCAAGTTTTCCATATAGTCATAAACAAGTTGGCAATGATGACCACTGTGATAGCCCATCTCCAAGATGGCTCCATGATCTTCATCCCCTGGTATTCATGTCCTTGTGTGGTCCCCTCCCAGACTGCAGGGCTGACCTGTGTAAGCAGTGTAAGCAACAGAATATTCAGGAAGCGATGATGTGAGACTTCAGGAGCTAGGTATAAAAGACAATGTGGCTTCTGCCTTGCTCTCTCCTGCTCTGAGGGAAGCCCGCCTCCATGGTGTGAGGATGCTCAAGCAGCCCTATAGAGAGGTCCATGTGGCGAAGAAGAAGCCCCCCACCAACAGCCATGTGAGGGAATCATCTTGGAATTCATCCCCCAGCCCCATCAAGCCTTCAGATGATTGCAGACCTGGATGGCATCTCGATTGCAACTTCACATCACAAGAAACTCCAAGCCGGAGCCAATGCAGCCAAATCACTCCTGAATTCCTGTTCCACAGGAACTGTAAGGTAATAAATATTGTTTAAGCCACTGAACTTTGGGTTAATTGCTACAGAGCAATAAATGACTGATACAATTATACAATCAAAGCAAGGAAAAACCATGCCTTGGATATCTTTAGAAGGAAACAAAACTGTTATCACTTGGGACATGAGTTGAAAGAATTAACCCTTCCACACAGGCCATCCTCTTTTACATACTCACCTGGCCAAGTTCTCACAACTCTTGATAAACATACCATCTTTCTCTGGCATCAATTGTAAAATGAGCCTCTCCTCTGTCCTCTGACTTGTAGCAAGTTAACACCTTTCCGTACCTTTCCTACAATGCAATTCCAACAAAAATCACTGGAACAATATATACCCTGGCTTCCAATAAAAATAAACTTTATGCACTAGTGAAAACTCAGCAAACACCTCTTGGAGATTGTTAGACCGCAACCCACTGTACTAGGTGATTTCATCAAGAGCTGGAAAGGGAAACTTCACCTCTTTTGAGCCAAACCCCTCCTTCTGCCCAATCTCCCCTCTGCTTTCTCAAGGGTTCTCAAATCTCCCTGGGACACACCAGCTGGAGAGGAGTCCCTCCTTCCTATGGTGAAGTCTGGAAAAGCTTTCGATGAAGATCAGGGTAGTTAGCCTTTGTAGTGACAACACTTTGGTTCAGATTCATCTAAGCTCTGTCACCTTGGGTGAGTCACTTAACATTGTGCCTGAGCCTCCCTTCCCTGCTGTGAGGCTAATAATATCACCTTCCTCCTACAGCTGTTGAAGGGATCAAATGAGAGAAGAATTGTCCAAGGCTTAGCCAGTGCCTGGTAATTAGTAAGTGCTTATTTGCATTTCATTGCTAATGCAGAATAATAGCAATAATGGTAGCTGCTATTTATTAAGAGTTACTACATGCCTAGCTCCCTTGACATATACTATCTCACTGAATCCTGCCGGATCGGGCCTTATATATCCCCATTTTAGGAATGAGGAAGCTAAGGCACACAGAGGTGAAGTGCCTTGCCCCAAATCACACAGACTCCAGTGACGGGGCACCAGAACCCCCACCCTCAACCACGGGGTCTGCAGCCTTCTGAGAGGAATGGAGCAAGTGAAATCCTTTTAAACCTCAGGAACCCTGCAGGGATTGCCACAGAATAGAAGGAGCAGGGGAGAGATGACCCAGCAAAGGAACACACAGTCAAGAGGAAAGAATTTCCCAAGCGGCAGACACAGAGGTGATGTGGAAGTCCTCTATGGCGTTGTCACATATATCTTGTTTGTGGCAGGGGTCTCAGGCTTCCTGCTCATGAGGCAGAGCCCCAGCACACTCTTCCCTCTGCCGTCCACACCCTGCCCAGCTGGGTGGCTGACCCTGCAGCAACACAGGCCCCTGCCTGGGCCTGGAGGTGCCAAGAGCCCTGCTGGTGGCCCTGTCTTGCCTTTCCTGAGTGCCAGCTCTGGCTACAACACAGCACTTGCTCATTAAAATCAGGTTGTGCTGGTGGGGAGAGTTGGGCTGTTTTATATGCAAAAAAGGAAATAGCATAAATATGACAACATCAGATGGGACCAGGTTTGGCCCAACAATGTGGCATTGTATTCTTCTCACTGAACCAGGAAAGCAAACTCACAGAACCAGCAGGATCCACGTGTCTGGCCAAAAAGGGTCAGCTGGCTTGGTGCCCTCTTCCTCCTGGCTCTGACCCCAGGAACCCCTGTGACTCAAATGATGATCATAACAGCTGTAAAGGAATCTACAAGGTGCTGAGCCCTGTGTTTTCTGTGGCTGGGGCTCAGAGAGGTTGAGTTGCTGGGCAAGGTGGCCTAGCTGGTAAACCTTCTGTTTTGTGGCAGAAGCAAGGGGTTACCTGCAAAGAAGTGTGGATCACTGTGAACGAAGAGGGACAGCTGAAGCCACCGGGCAGGGTGGAGCTGAGGCAAAGCCTCAGAAAACATTTATCCAGGGAGGCAGGATAGTCTAGTGTAGTGGTTCTTAATAAGGGGGGATTTTGTTCCCAGCGGGGATTTGGAAATTATCTACAGACATTTTGGTTGTCACAAGTGGGGAGGGTGGTGCTATTGGCACTAATGCATAGAGCCCCGGGGGGCTGCTAAACATCATCCAGGGCCCAGAGCAGCCCCACAACATCAAATATCTGGCCCCAAATGCCAGTGGTGCTTAGGGTGCGAGGCCTGGTCTAGCAGCTGAGAACACATGCAGCCTCTGGTTCCTGCGGCACTCTTCCTTGCTGTGTAACCATGAAACGATACTTCACCTCCTCAGTTTCCCCCTATGTAAAATTAGGATACTAAGTTTCTGCGTCACAGAGCTGACCCAACGCCTGTTCATTGCTTTTTGGGGTCAGGCAAGTAGTAAAAGCTCCACGATGTTGCTAATGTTGCTTACCAAGCACAGTGCTCTGCAGGGGAGTGCTGATATGGTCAATAATAAGGAGGCCTGGAGAGAAGCAAACCAAACACTTAAGAAGGTAGAGGAAGCTGACCAGTGCTGGTACTCAGGATCTTGCCTCAGCCTGCCTTTTCACACCACCTCCCACCGCTCTGGTCACTGGGCCAGCACACCCAGGGCTTTTTCCTGCCTCCCCAGTCCACAAGGACCACCTCCTTCAAGGAGCCACCTTGACCAGCCCAACCCTTGAGAATCATAAAGCCCTAAAAAAGCAAGGTAAGTCTACCATTTGCAATAACATGGATGAACTGTGAAGACATTATGCTAAGTGAAATACGTCAAAGACAAATACTGTATGCTCTCATTTATATGTAAAATATAAAACAAAGAAACAAAATCATAGAGATCAGACTTGAGGTGGAGGGTAGGGGGAAATGGAGAATGGTGGCCAAAATGTGCAAATATCTAGTTATAAGTAAGTTCTAGAGATGTAACATACAGCATGAAAACTATAGCTGACACTGCTATATGATATGTATGAAAGTTGTAAGCAAGTAAATCCTGAAAGTTCTCATCACAAAGAATTTTTTTTCCTATTTTCTTTCTTTTCTTTTTATTGTATCTATATGAGAAGATGGATGTTAGCTGAATGAACTACTGTGGTAATCATTTCATGATATATGTAAATCAAACCATCATGCTATATGCCTTAAGCTTATGAGTTCTCATTTATACACACACACACACATGTAACCTCAAGACACACTCCAGCCCTGGTCAGACTCACAAATACACACACACACACAATAACACAAGACACACATAGTCCCACATCCACACACACATATATACAACACTGGCATACAAAAGCAATATACATCCAAGGATATGCAGTGTCCCACAAATTCATGTACATACACATATTTAAATACAAACTCAGGAAACCCATAGGTCTCATATATACACATACTTTTAACATTTAAGTATGTAGAAATCAACTGTATATATACACAGAGACCCATTCTGGGCACAGAAACTCATATACAGCTATTAATGTGCTTACATGCAGATACATACATCGTTCAACACATACACTATGTATCCTTCCAAACACACACATACAAAAACAACTTTTTTTAAATCTGTCCTCTCATATACAGAGATATGCTCCCACAGTATGTTTCATTTATTCATCGATTCATTTATATTATTAAAAAGTTGCTAAGGAAACTTCCTTGGGGCTCTTTACAAATTCAATCTTATGTTACAGCTACTTGTGTAGCCCAGCAAATGCACCACCGGGAGATGATTTCTCCCTTTAAATCTGCACTTGGGGGTAGGCGGTGTGGGGCTTTCTCTCCCCTGCAAGCCCACGGGAAGCCGGGCTCCGTCTCCCTCATCTCTGTGCCTCACTTAACAGCGCGTCCCCTAAGACCTCCACGGGGAGGTGGTCGCTGAGGCCCGCGTCTGCAGGTGCGTTCCCTCGGACCAGGGGCGGGCCCATGGGTGTGGCTAGGAACAGAGGTCCCCCGGGCGTAGGGGCGGAGGGAGGCGGGGGCTGAGCATGACCCTCGCGGCTCCGCCTCGGCCCCGCCCCGCGCTCCGCTCCGACCCGTGGCCCCCGCCCAGCCCAGGGCCCGCGGGCCGCTGGAGGGGGCGGGGCTGGGGCTTCGGCTCCTCCCCAGGCTCCCCCTCGGCTCCCTTCCGGGCCCCGCCCACTAGCCGCCCCACCCCCGCCTCCCTCCCTCGCTCCCCTCCGGCCGCCGCGCCCCGGCCCGAGGCTGAGTCATCGCTGGGGCGCGGCGAGGAGAGCGGCCGAGCAAGTAGGGAGGCTGTGAAGAACGCGACGCCGTGCGACCGTCACCGCCGCCACGGGCGGAGCTGACTCCCGCACACGGCCTTCTCCCGGAGAGGCCTAGGAGGGGGCACGGATGGGGCCAGGGTGGCGGTGGAGAGCGGCGAAACGCCCCGGAAAGCGGGGGTTCTGCCGCCCTTCCACCAGTAGCTTTGCAGCTTTCTGAAGGAGCTGCACACAGGATGGAATCGTGAACTTACGCGTAACGTTAGGGTGGCATCCAGGCCAGGCATCGCAAACTGGCGGCCCACTGGCCAATCTGGCCAGCATCTGGCCTTTATTGGGCTCACAGAATGTTGTTTAAGTGTTAACCAGATGCTAGTATTTAAACACAGTAAGGTATTTCGTAAGGGGAAAATCAGATTACCAGGTCTCAAAAATTTAGAATATATGGCAGCACTGGACCTACATTTCGCATGACAATAGCCTAATGCTGAGTGAGGCTGCCTTTTCTGGTCAGGGCCTTGCATCCTCTAGTGTGCCACAGTCCCCATTACTTTGTCCTATTTCACCTAAGCCACTGAACTGCTTTATGTTACCTGCTAAGCCTTTTATCTAGTGGTCACTAATCTAGTCCATCCCCTGCTTACTTCTCAGGTGGGGATGGCGAGGTGGAGGTGGGAGTTTCCCAAAGTATACAAAACATGTGGCCCTAACTCTGAATGAGAACCCCAGCTCTTCCTCACTTACTAACCTTTTCTACCAAACCATCTGCCTCCTTTAGCATGCAGGCTAAGA